AGGCTGTTGACGGTCAGATCGGCGGTGGGGCGATGCCGCCGCTGTTCTCCAGGGTGGTGACCCGGCCGTCGAAGCATCTTTGGCTCGAACTTGTTTGTAGTTGGCTGGTGGGGTAGCTTGCTCTTCCTGTGCGCTGGAGTGCGGCTGTGCTCCTCGTACAGACGAGGCTCATCCTCTGAGGGTGGGTCTGCGTAGCTAGTGGGGCGGCAGGGGCTAGGCGCCATAGGGACGTTTGAGCACTCTTCGTTGGCTCTGCGTGCCCTTTTTCAGCTGCTGACTGGAATTTTGCTTGCAAGCATTCCGCTGTCCCCCAGAGTGCATATACGAGCTGTGGCCCTGGATTTGCTGACAGACGCACTGCATCCTTCCTCGAGCCTTCAGCCTTACATTCTGGAGCTGGCCACGCGCCTGTGGGAGAATTCTTCTGCAGTTCATTTGCTTTGCAGCGCTACTGATATTTTGCCGGAGACAGAAGCCTTGCTATTGCAGGGTTGGACAGCGCGCAACTATCCTGGTATCTATCTGGCGTTTGTGCAGCTTCAACAGCGTGCTCATACCACCGTTTCTGTGCATACATGATTGCATATTTTGTGGTGTTTGCCATTTGGATTGCTGGGAGAGAGTGTTTTATCCAGTCCGCCAGAGTGGGCTATCACGCCAGACACACTTGCGAGCCAACCTGGGTCCCAAGTCCCAGGGCTGCCCCAGCGAGCACAGCATACTGCGCCTTGAAATTCGGTGACATGGCAGCCGACTGGTTTGACATTGATTACAGTGCCTTTGCGTATGATCGTGATTTTGAAGAAGACCTATGCATTGACGACTTCTCGCATGATTTTCTCGCGCCTGCTCTTGGGCAGGAGCCCAATGCTTGGGAGGGACATCAGGCCAGCGAGGCCTGGAATGCACAGGCTCACAGTAATCAACCAGGTTCGGCAGGACAGCAGTATGCGGCTTTCTTTGCACAGAGCAGGGGGGCAGCTGATGCGAGGGTGACAGGGGATATCATCGACCCTGCCGAAGCTCCGATTAACAGGCGAGTTTTTTCATTGTGGAGTGGGGCGAAGCGAGATGATAGACACGAACATCGCGCCAATCTGGCGCCACAACCAGCGCGCAAGCGCGCACTGCAGAGAGCTAGACGACGTGCCATCAAGAATGGCGGCACTTGGTATAGGGATAGATGGGTTACCCCGAAGGACATTGGGCTGCCGGGTGAAGTTCATGACATGTCAGGTAGCTTTGTGCATCGACTTCAAAAATGCTTGCCAAAGATGCCCGTGCTTCCACCCTGGCCGCCGAAGCCGGCCGTTCCAGGCTCCCACAGTCCACGCATGCCCAAGCATGGGCTAGGGGTTCTCACTTTCAACTTGGGCGGGTTTAGTAAAGAAGGGTTTGATGAATTTCAGCGCTGGCTGCATCTTGAAACCACGCGTCGCATGGTGCATGTTGTGTTCCTTCAGGAAACCTGGCGTGGCAGCACTGAATTTCGCACTGCTGACTGGGTTTGGGTCCAGTCGGGTCGCAGCCCGGTTGTTGGGCAGGGGGTTGCTATCCTCTTGAACCGTCGCTTTGCTGATAGTGCCTGTGTCAGGGTTGCTGAACGTAGAGTAGGCCGTGCACTCATGCTTCAGGCTGGACTTTGTGCTGACACGATCACTTCAGGCAGGTCCCTTAGGTCGTCAGGCCGCATCACGACCCCAGCTTGAGTTTTTTCAGTGGCGTGAGGGCAGTCGGCATGTTCCAGTGTATGCTGTCCTTTTGGACACTCGCCCGGATGTTCTTCAAGCGGAGCGCTCAAACGGCGAGGCATTTCAAGTGGACCGACAGCACATGGCTAATGAGGCACAGAAGCACCCTGAGAAGGTTCAAGTGTTCCGCCAACATGTTCAGGAGGCCTTGGCTTGCGCGTGTCATCCGGTCAGTCCGGAAAACTTGGATGACATCCTGTGGCAGGCCTCCGCTACGGTCTTCGCCGGTAAGCCTGAGGCACAACCGCCGAGCGCATGGCAACAGCCCGAGACTGCCCTGCGACTGCAGGATGAAGGGAGCACCGTGCCGAGCATCAGCGCTAGGCCAAACAGGTGCGCATTGCTTTTCTGTGTGTACGCTATAGAGCCGTTCGATGCATGTGGAACTACTGGACACAGTACGCGCGGTTCCAGCGCGCGCGTAAGGAGCTGCGACGCACCAGTCAGCGATTGCGTAAGGCTAAGTTGGTTCAACAACTGGAGAATGCAGAGCAGGCGCTTGCACGACATGACACACATGCTTTTTTTGCTGTCATACAACAGCTTGCTCCCAAGCAGGCTCGTGGCAGAGTCCAGTTGAAAGGTGAACATGGTGAGATGCTCACGGCCGAGGCTGAAATTGATACCCTTCATACCTACTGGGACAGCATTTTCAATGATGGTGCTCAGGCTCATGACTCCCTTCTGGCAGAGGGCATACATGTAACAGCCCAAGAGGTCTTAGAGGTGGTGGCCAAATTGCCGATGAGGAAAGCTGCTATGCCAGGTAGGGCACCGTGTGCTGCATGGAAACTGGCCGCGGAGGACGTGGCGCCGCACCTACATGCCTACGTGCAGCAAGCTTGGGCCCCGGGCCCGGTTTGTGTTCCTCTGTACCTCACTGAAGCCTGGCTGCACTTCATGAGCAAACCAGGGCGCACTTTGCGCACGCCGGGGGATCTACGGCCTCTTGCGCTCCAGACTGGGGGCGGCAAGGCACTCAGTCGACTCCTGAAAAATCAGCTGACCCCGTATGCGGAACGGGTGGCACTTCATGTACCACAATTCGCATATTTGAGGAATCGCGATGCACATTCTGCCATTGCTCGAGCACTGACACACATTGACAAGGTGCGTTCGATCACGCATGGTGGGCAGCGTCTTAGCATTCATGCTCGTAAGGCTGGGGTGCAACAACAACGATGCGCCGGGGGAGCCACGCTCTCATTGGACCTTAGTCGTGCCTTCGACTCGGTTGGGCATGATGTGCTGTGGGAGGCCCTTATGTGGGCAGCAGTACCGTGTGACCTGGCAACCCTCTTGATGACATGGTATCGCAGTGAATATGCCCTGGGACAGCGGGGTGTGGGTGGCTATACCAGGCGCATCAGCATCACCAAGGGGGTCAAACAAGGGTGTGTCATTGCCCCCACCATTTGGGTCATCATGACATGCTTTGTGCATCACAGGTTGGATGAGCGCTTATCACAGGATTGGTCGGAACGACATGCCACGTGCTTTGCTGATGATTTTCTGTTTCAATGGGTGTTGGAGTCATTGCGAGCATGCAAGGCCATGTGCACAGATGTGGGTATCATTTTCGAGGTCTTTGCCTCACTGGGTCTTTGCATCAATAGCAAGAAGTCTGCCATGCTTCTCAAACTCGTGGGCCCCGAGGCTGAGGCCTGGTTGGCCAAACACCGTGTACTAGCCCCGCAGGGCATTGAGGCCAAGCATGTACTGCGCTATGACCTTTTTCGTCGGAGTGCGGTTCCCATTAAACATACACATGTTTACCTCGGCATTGCTCTCACCTACGACTCATATGAGGAGGCCTCCATGCGACACCGCCTGCGTCTTGCGGCCATTCAGAAGCACAGGCTGGCTCGCATATTGCAAGGGCGCGGTGGGCTCACCAAACAATGCCGACTTAGGCTGTGGCGTGTGGCGATTGCCACTTCTATGCTATATGCCACTCATGTCGTGGGCTTGACTCGGGCTAGTCTGCGCTCTGCTCATGTCATGATGACGAAACACCTACGAGCCATCATGAGATCACCGCGGCACCTGACGCAGGAGAATGATCTTGCATTTCTCCAGAGCATTTCCCAGGACACCCCTCTACAGTTGGTTCTGAAGGCCATTGGATCCATGCTTGATCGTGCCACTGCTCCTACAGATTTTCCTTGCTTTGCCAACGAGGATGTCATGCGTCGCCTTCGTGCATTGCGGTGCAACATGATTTCCCTCAGCGAGGCTCCGGTCCCTAGAGGCATTCGACTAACTGAAGTCCCAGCCAGTGCACCGGTGTTCACCTGCCAGATCTGTGGCCAGCACTTCGCCACTCTGCCACAGGTTAAAAGTCATGAAGGCAAGATGCATAAAATGGTTGCGCCTACCCAGAAGCCTCTCAATGCGTCCTACTTCGCCACGGGCGGGATGCCTACATGCAGGTTTTGTGGAGAGACCTTTGCACGCTGGGACAACCTCCGGCGGCACATACAGCACAATCGATGCGGGAGCCTCAGAACGACTATGACCCAGGACGCGCCGGCTGTTTCGGAAACAGCACCAGTGAGTGCGCGCCCAGGACCTGAGGACGTGAGCGTGGCTAGTGTTGTGGCACCCTCAGAGCAGTTACCAGCCCCATCCATGCCATCTGTGACAAACTTGACAAAGCCTGCTGGCCCCCCTGTCGCTGCTGCTAAACCTCACTCCCCACCCGCACATATCAGTGAAGCCTCGGCTGCAACAACGACGGTTTGGAGTAGCGCGCAGCAGACTGCATTGCACAACCGTGAAGTGCCTGTTGCTGAGTGGACAAGTGTGCGACAGGCCCGAATCATGGAAAACATCATACAGGTACCTAATGTACGTGAGTGCCTGGTGCAAACTTGTTGTCTTTGTGGACAGTGGGTTTCCGCGACCAATGGGGTGCGCAAACATTTGCGTGCTGCACATGCTTCAGTTTGGTTGAAGCATGAGTCTGCCATCTTGCAACGTGCTAAGCTGTGGCCCAAGTCAGCTGTCTCGCCTTGTCGGCTTTGTAACGCTACCATCAAGAAACCACGCGAGCACCCTGCTAGTTGTACCGTGTTTGCACAGGCGTGCCTCCTTGAATTGGTGTGTCAAGAGACAGAAGGAGCTGACAATGACGGGGGCAGCAACCATGGCGCCACCGGTGGCAGCGGACAAGCAAGTGCTAGCACTGTTCGGGCATGTCTTGACACCGATGGCGGGGGGCACAGCGGTGGGGGCGAAACAGGGCGGTCAGCATCAGGAGATGGACGTGGACTCATCGCGCAAGCGCCCACGCCAGACACGACAGTCCCAACCCAAGGGCAAGGGCAGAGAGCGAGGAAAACCCAGGGACAAGGAGGAGGAGCATTACTCCGATACTTCGGAGCGCGACCTAGTGCTGGCCCTGGGACGGATAGTACTGCAGCAGGCGGATCAGCTGCACCGTCTGGAGCTGGACACGGGGTTCTTTTTGGTGTTAGCCACAGCTCCGACATCAACCACGGTCATTCCCACCATGTTCGAAGTGGCAGAACTTTGGAGAAAGAAGCAAGCGGAGACTCCGGAGCAGATCACATGTTCGTTGGGTGTCATGATGCTACGGTGCTTACTCCAGGAGCTCAGCAACCGCCTCAGCCACGCCTTGAAGACCCCGGAGGTTCTGGCAGCCCTTGTCAAGCAGGAGATGCTGACGGACAAGCAGGACTGGATGCACATGCTCTGGGACAAGGACAATGGGAAGTTGATGCCAGACCCCACGCGCAACCCATTGTCTACCAAGGACCTGCAACAAACCTTTCAGGATGCGGCAAACATATTGCAGCACCAACCCGAGGTGATCACCAGATTTTGCAGCACACAGAGGCTCGACGCGAACACTCAGAATGCACTGGTGCCGTTCCTCATCGATGTCTCGCTTCGGGACGGCAGGATGTTTCAAATCTTGAATCAGTGGTCACGTCTGAGTGTGTGGCATCTCCTGCACGGGCGCTTGCGCCCAGCCCGAGCCCAGCGGAGTCCAGCGGAGCTCCGTGTCCACAACATGATCCGAGCCCTCTCTTAAGCCTGCGCCTCAAAAATGAAGCTGGCACGAATCAATGTTATGCTAACTCCTCCATTCTTGCGCTGTCCTGGTCAGTCCTACAGCATGGCGGGCGAACTGCCCCGCCATTGCAGGCACTCATTCGTCGGCTCGTGCAGACTCGGCGGGAGCAGCTGATCACATTGCGCAGGTTGTCTGAGTGGGAGCTGATCGGACGGGGATGGCCGCGACCTCTGGAACAGAACGACGCCTCCGAGTTCATTGGGCACCTTTGTGCACGCACGCAGGGGCTACCTGATCTTTGTACGTGGATGGTGCAAAGAGTTGAGGCTGCCGGAGTCCCCAGAGAGTTGGGTGGTAGTTGTCCGGTGTTCATGCCCATTAGGCGTGCGTGTGGCGCGCCGCACGCCACGTTGCAACAAATCATACAGGACTGGCATATGCAGCTCCACCTCCATGGCCTCGCTTTGGCGAGGCCGTTGCTCATTTTACAGTTGAACAGGTTCTCGGGTTGCCACCCCTTTGGCAGGAAGGATGCTGCAGCTGTTTCTTTGGAGGCGGGTATGATTCATATGCCATGTGTTGCCGGGAGTGCTACTACTTGGGTGCCATACAGGATTGTTTCGATGATTGTTCATACCGGAGCCACGGCCCGGTCAGGTCATTACCAGACCGTCCTGTTCACGAACCATGAGGGGCCTAGCTGGCAGTTGGGGGCACGCGCAGCGGACGATAACATTGCCACCGTGCCACTGACCCCTGCTGAACTTGTCAGCCTCAACAAGCGCATTTACTTGGTGTTCTTGATACGCATGGAAGCTTAGAGGCAGCCGAACCATACATGTGGCCCGAGCGTCTGCTGATGCTGTGCTACGGGGCTCATGCTTGGTCATCACATTGCACTCTTTTCTTTCTCATTGCACGCATGGACCTTTTGAGACTTTCATGTGACTTTTTCTAGTCGTGCCGATCATTGCATTGTCGTGTCGCATGGGCCGCGGCATTGCATGGTTTTCACAGGAACGCCCTGATCTTCATCGGAATACAGTGGCATTTTTATTTGTGGGTGCACGCTTTTGTGCGTGCACACTTGTTGTGCATCCATGAGCATGTATGCCTCACTCGACAGGCCAGCTTCCGATATGATGGAGGATGCCTCGCTGGCCATGTATCTGTGGTTGCGCCGTATTCCTCGCCCTCGTCAGTTTGTTGCAGACCTAGGTGTGCGGCATTATTTTGTGCAATATCCTTCGGATGCAGATACCACCGCACAGATCCAGGCGCAAATCTATCAGGAGCTTGAGAATGTCAACCTCGATGAGGCCATCACTTTCTTTCGTCACATGTTGGACCAGCCACATCGTGAAGATTTTTACGAGGACATTTATCGACACATCCTTTTACACATGATTACCGAGCCGAGGCCTATCACTGCCATGCATCCAACATTATTTCCGCAATCTGCACAATCTACAGTGGTACCGATACGAGTGCCCCGAACATCGCTGACTCAGGAATCTCAGGAATCACGGGTGGAAACACAAGATGATTCTGCTGCACTGCTTGAGCGTGGGAGCCACTCACCGGCGCCGACTTTGATTGAATCTTCTGATTCGGACGCCACGCTGAATTATGAGGACTCAGAAACATTGGTTTTCATGGAAGATGCTGCTGATGCATAATGGGCTACTTGCATGCTCTGGTGATCAGTGCCAACTTGCTTGGATGAGATGTGCCACTTTTCGCACAACCCCACTGAGCTTGAACTTGCTGCTGACAGTAGGGTAGGGTAGATGTCGGTGTAATGTAGCCTTGTACAGCTTTGCAACACTCGCCTTGTGCCCTGTACATGCCGTCGTCGTCGCATCACATGTGTTAAACACTTGACACACATGTTGTACAGCTCTCGCTTACAGGCATTGAGTGGCACACGTGCTGCTTAACATGCCGACTTTTGCAGTGTACATTGTTGTTTTTGTTCTGAGTGCCAACTGGCAGCTGTTATACAACAGCCGGATGTTTTTAGATACATCTGCTCGTGTCACTCGAGATGGCTGCACCGTCTGAGTTCGCAAAGCAAAAAAAAACCCGGCCGTCGATGGCCGACCTGCAACTCCAGCGTGGTCACGCGGCCGTCGATGCACGTGACCGTGCTGCCGAGCGAATTGAAGTTGGCAACCAAGGGGTAGCGCCCGTCCGATTGGCCCTTGGACCAGCAGTCGCAGCTGATCTGCAGCGTCGAGCCGTTGCCCAGGATGGGCTGGGCGGAGAGCGGCGTTTGGCACAGCAAATTCCGGATCACCACGGGGGTGAACTGGGTCTGGACCAAGTTGAAGATCCCGCCTCCTTCGGCGCCAGGG